ACTTAAAAGTAGTTTGATGTACTTAGTACATTAATTCTCTTCACAATTTTTGCCAATTTAATGAAACGCTGTTTGCCTCTCGTTTTCCTTTCTCCACATTCGTAAGAGACAATCCTAGAAGAACGTGTATTGTTGACGTTCTGGAGTACTGACTTTGCCCAAAGCACTTGACGCCTAGCAGAAGAGCAATAACAACACCTTCCTTGCTCGCAAAATCAAAACCGAGTTTATTGTGTAACCAATGCATTGTACGGCTTCCTTCTCCCTCAAGTGTACTCCTTTTGGTCAGTGGCAGTCGCCTAGCATCGCAAAGTAGTTGACGCTCTGCTAATGCACCCATGCGCCAACTGCACCAGTCGTGGAACTTGGGTGCAATTGAGAAAACAGTTGACCGCATCATCACTGATACCTCTTGCCACTTTTATTAAATGTAGGGTTTTGGCCCTATTTAGGAAGTGTATTTGAGGAAGGGGTAGTGTGCTGACCATCACGAGTGCTCATAGCTAGTCGTAGGAACACTGGCCCAACTGCATTATTGCCCAATTAAGAACGGTGTTTAAAAGAACTTCCTGTTGATTTGGTTACGCATTTGCTTCTTTCGCCATTTTTTCTCACTTTAATGCCCCTTAACCAGTTACGTCTAGGTTTTTATTTAGCTAGAAGAGAGGTGGAGTAGGCATCACGAGTTCGCTTCATTGGCGCCTATATGCGGGTGTGATAGATTGCTCCGAGATGATATTCACAAGATGGTTTAACTGCAATTAGCACTTTCGCCAGGCATAGGACTCGGGTGGTTGCTGAACACAGACGTCATATTTATCCCTCCTGTTAGGAGTATCGCCGATTCTCTCACAAGTTGCAGATGCACTTTTCTGCCACTTAAGGGCTTATCATTCATCCACCCATTCATCTATCATCCATACTGCTATGGCAGAAAAGGCATTACTGATTACAGTGCTTGGCTTTCAAATAATATAGATGATATTCCACCTTGTAAAGCTGGTTTGGCCATACAGCCAAAGCGAGAAAAACGGCAAGGAGAAATAGACGCGGAATCGTGCCTTTTTGTTATGTGACAGTGCTTCCAGTCCTGCGTTCCTACAACTGACTAGGGACACTCGTGATGGTCTGCACACTGTCCCTTTCACAAATGGGGCTTCCGAACATGTCAAAATTCTAGCTCCAGTAAGGGAGCTGAGAGGGACCAGCGATGTTGCAGTTAACTGCCTTCACACCTGAAAGCAACTTCGACGACCAATGCAGTTGGCGCATGGGTGCATTAGCAGAGCGTCAACTACATTAGGATGTCGAGCGCGGGACGTATTTCGCCTTAGCATTATTACCTTCTCTCTTGAACACAGAAAAAAGGCACTTCAAACGCAAAAAAGCAAAACGAGATAAAAAAAGAGAAAAACAGCGTTGTATTAAATTGGCGAAAATTGTGAAGAGAATTAATGTACTAAGTACATTGTAATACTTATGTT